GCTGCCATCGCCAGTGTCTCTTACAATGTACTAGTCAATGGCAAGAGTATGAGTGTGGGCATGGAAGAGGCTGGGGTGTGTGTGGCAGGTGGACAGTGTAGTATCATGACCCTAGGGAGAATGCTCTTGATCATAAAAGGATGCATCTAACTCCTGAGGCAGTCCTAGGTAGAGGAACTTGCAAATTGATGTGACCTGATGGAGATGAGCTATGAGACTAATGTGGATGCATTGGCAGGACAGAAAGGTTATCCTAGAATGACTGAGGCCTTAAGTGGTTCTGAGGTTTTTTGTTTTTGTTTGTTTGTTTTTTCAGGACAGAGTTTCTTAGTATTGCTTTGGAGGCTGTCCTGGAACTCTGTAGACCAGGCTGGCCTTGAACTTGAACTCACAGAGATCTTCCTGCCTCTGTCTCCTGAGTGCTGGGATTAAAGGTGTGTGCCACCAACGCCTGGCTGGTTCTGAGGTTTTAACCTACTCAATTTAACTAAGTCCTAGCTGCCTTTTTTAAATGGGGCTACTTTAAACAGTCATACTATGGGTACACTGACCCTAAGGGCCTAGTTTGTTGGAATTATCAGGCTCTTTCTTAGGCTGTATTAGCTCCCACTTTAGTTTCTCAATTTTATCTCATTTTCAAACTCTTGCCATTTTTTTTTTAAACATTCCCTCAGTTCTTTTCTACTTGGCCACCAACTAGAATGTAGGTTAAGGGTCAGGTGTGGTGGTATCTTTATCCTAGCACCAGGAAGGCAGAGGCAGGCTGATCTCTGAGTTTGAGGCCAGCCTGGCATACACTGCAAGTTCCGAGACAGCCAAGATTACATAGAGAGACCCTGTCTCTAAATATAAAACAAAACCAAAGAAGTAGGAAGAAAGAGGTACCCTTGAATCTCCATCAGTCTTTTTGTCTTTCCTATTGCTCCCTGTGGCCTGACAGGTGTCTGAGAGCCAGAGAATTAAAGAACAATTTAAACTGGGTAATATGTTCCTTATTGTTACTTGGACTCTGATGACTAGAGCACTGAAGGCTATCTCACTCCAGGCTGACTTCCCTGTACCAGTATACAGTCTTAGGATCTTGTTGTTTTCTAAGCTACTGCAGAGTTTTGTCTTAAAACCTGCAAGTCCAGCCAGATACAAAGCAGAGCAAAGGTCAGCCGTATCTAGTAGCATCTCTTCATTTACTTCCCAACTTAAGTACATATCCAGCAGGGGCTGTCTTGGGTGGAAGCTTGAGGAAATGGGGAAGGAGTATGGACAGTTCTCAGGCTGCCTTCACTTCTACCTAAATAAGGGATACCTTTATCTTTTTGATAGTGGGCTTCTCAATTAGATTTGAATGTAGGAACCACCAGTCTGTCTATAAGAGAACGCCAGATAAACTGGGGAAAATACTATTATTATATCTGTCTTCCTGATTTAAGTATGTAGTGACCCTAGGTAAGCCATTGTTGAGTGAGAAGACATTTCCAGGTAATGAGTAACCTCTTTAAGCCCACTATGAAATTCTAACCTTCTAATAAAACATATTGTAGTATATGTCACTGAAGCTAGCTAGAGTTGAGTTTTTTCTTTGAGGTCTGCACTGCCAGGGAATTTTTAAAAAATGGCCAGGCAAGGAGTATGGTAACTGGAAAAGGAAAAAAAAAAAAAAGTTTAGGACCCTTGACTGTATGGTAGACATTTTATTTTAAATTTCCTAAATTACTATAGCCCACTGTACTACAGAATCCTACCAATCTGATATAAATGATTTGGTTAAGCAATCTACCTAGAAGATTCTGATCAATAGTTTTGAGGGTGTGCCCCCCCCAATCTCCTAGCTTGAATCTAGGGATAGTTAAAGGATCAAAAGTTCAAGGTCATCCTTGTCTATAAAGCAAGTTCTAGGTTAGCCTGGGGTTTGAGAGACCTTGTCTTAAAAAAAAAAAAAAACCCTAGGAGTTAGGGTAGAGAGCTCAAGAGTCTCCTGTTTGATAGGACTGAGCTGAGGGTGCTGATCACCTGTAATTGTTAGAGGTTCTGTCATCATTTACTGTAGTAAAGGCCCTAATTGACTTTTTTAAAAAAATTATTTTCTGTGCATTGGTGTTTTTCCATGGGTGTCAGATTCTCTGGAACTGGAATTACAGTTGTGAGCTGCCACGTGGGTCCCCTGGAAAAGCAGTGTTCTTACCACTGAGCCATCTCTCCAGCTCCGCCTAACTGACTCTTAAGGCAGAAGATCACAAGCAAAGGGAGTTCAAAGTCCAGGCTAGACAGCTAGCAAGATCCTAGCTCAAATTTGTCTCTAAAGTTAAAAAGAGCTAAATACATTTGTGTTGCAAGTGCTCACATTTGTATTACTAGCACTGAGGCCAGTCTGGGCTATGTGAAATGATGTCTCAAAAAAAAAAAAAAAGTATGTTGTGGCAGGAGGGCAGGGGCTTGAGAGACAGGTAGTTCTGACAGTCAAGTTTTTGCCTCACAAGAATGGAGACCAGAGTTCTATTTCATGCGCCCATGGAAATCAACATGGGTTACAGATGCTTTTAATTCCAGTACTGGGGAAGAGAAGATAGGCCAGAGACACTCTGGTGTGTGAATGAGTTCCTGTTTGTGAATGAGGATGGGTATGTCATATTCATGAAGTAGATGGAGGGTGACAGTTTTGAACATGCATGTTATGAATTTGAAGACCATGTGTGTATGTGGCTAGGAGGCAAATCTTGTTTCTTTGAATACAATTTTTCTCAGCTATCTGATGACAAAGTACTGTTAGAATCAGGAAGTAAGGTTTGTGCATCAGAAGCAAAGGCGGGGTGTTTTCTCTAAAGGTCCCAACTTGGATGGTAGCCTGAATGGATGCAGAAACAGTATATGGGGGAGTGAACAAACTCAGGATTTGGACTTAGGCAAGTACCTCTACTGGCTGAGGCCTCAGTGTGCTCATCTTTAATTAAGCATAATAGTGTCCAACAGAAAATATCCAGAGTGGCCGGGCGTTGGTGGCACACGCCTTTAATCCCAGCACTTGGGAGGTAGAGGCAGGCGGATCTCTGTGAGTTTGAGGCCAGCCTGGTCTACAGATCGAGTTCTAGGACAGCCTCCAAAACAATACAGAGAAACCCTGTCTTGAAAAACAAACAAACAAACAAAAAAAAAACCAAGGGAAATATCCAGAGTATTTCACACAAACACATCCTGATGTGGTTTTTTCGAAGGATACTCGCCCAGATCCATTCAATTCTACCTTCACTACTAGGGGAATGAGAAATGGGAAGCATCTTTGGTACAGTCAGTGGATAATGTCCACACAATACTGAGTCAGAAACAGTCATTGGGTCTCTTCCTGGGGCCCCTTGACTGCACTGAATACTGAGACCCCCAAATGTGAATTAGATAAAGTGGTTGTCCTTTCAAAGAGTTCAATCTAAGGGGTGTTTCTCCATAATGAAGGTGGACAGAGGGCTCAGTGGGTAAAAGCATTTGCTGCACAAGCAGGAGGACTCGAATTAAACTTCCCATGTAAAAAGTCCAATATGGTTGGGCAGTGGTGGTGCACAACTTTAATCTCAACACTGGGAAGGAAGATGCAGGCAGATCTCTGAGTTCAAGGCCACCTTCATCTACAGAGTGAGTTCCAGGACAGGTAGGGCTACATAGAGAAATCCTGTCTCTCAAAGCAAAACACCCAGCCCAGTATTTTTTTTTTTAAGCATGTATACCTATAACCCAAGAGCTGGGGAGTAGGAGATGAGAAGGCAGGTGAATCACTGGGGCTTTCTGTCCACCAGCCTAGCTCCAGATTCAGGGCAGACCTTGCCTCAAGGTAATAAGGCAGAGGCTAATAGCAGGACACTTGACATCCTTCAAATATGCACTGGTGTATACACCCGTCTATGGTCACATACAGGGTACATATACATATGTGTGCAAGACAAATTAACTACGGTATGCCACTTGCTGTTCAGGATAATAGTAAATGCCTAGGCTTCTGGCCTTCACAGAGATTCAGAACCTTACTAGGCAGTAATTATATTGATCCTCATACCAGAATTGCTATCCTTAGAGGAAGTGTACCCACAGATAAGGACTAAATGGAAGCCAACATAAATGGGACTTTCTGCCTAGTGTTCTCTCTGTAGTACCACTGTGCTTCAACTCATTAATATAGTATTTGTTTCTATCTTCAGCTAAAAGTTGACCCTCATCCTTGGAAAAATGAGCAGTGACTTCTATGGCGGTCAGGCCTCATACTGAACCCATTGTTCTAATCTCCTGGCCTTTCCCCTCTACTTGGTTCTTTCCAGTTACCACTCACATTCCAGTCCCCATATATCAGATGGAATGACCACTGCCCTTCTGAAATAGGTACTTCTTCCTGCGTGCCCCATCTCCCTCAATGACAGCTTCCCACATGGACTCTGAGTAAGGGAGGAATCCTTACATCATCTTCATGGACTCCTCTATATACTCACTTTCACCTTTATTTTCCTGGGCACTGAAGTCCCGAAACTAGAAGAGATTCACTTGATTATAACACCACCAATGATTGGCTATCCAAGCCCTCTCTCCTCCAGTAACCACAGAAGGCCACCGGTTACCTCTTCTATTACTTACAGTGTACCATTGATCTACTCTTCCTTGAGGTTTCCTCAAATAAGGGTCTCTTTAAATGATACCAGGTCTACTATGTAGCCTTAGCTGGCTTTGAACTCAAGGTCTTTCCTTTGCCTCCAAACTGATGCAATGACAAGCGTTTGCCATATCAAACTTGGTTAAGTTCTTTTAAGTAACTCAGGTTACTGGAAGTCATCTGACAGAGCATCCTTTCCTGTTCATACCCTACCCGATATCCCAGTTAACTCCCTTTCTTCAATGACCTAAAACAAGTGTTTCTTGGGGGCTGGGCTGTACCAAGCACTCAGTTGGAAGAGTGCTTGCCCAGCATGCATGAAGTCCTTCATTTGATTTCCAGCACCACAAAAAACAAACAGACAAACAAACAAAACCCATGTTGTTCACAGCTATAATCCAAGTACTTGGGGAGGTTGAGGCAGAAGAAGTTAATGTTATATGCGTTGAGTTTAAGATCAGTCTGGACTCCATGAGATCCTGTCTGCAAAACAAACAAAAGGAAACAACAAAATTGTTTCTTGCTCACGCTGTGTGCCATGGCTTTGCTCAGCTCTTGTAAATAAATAGTTAATGATAAATAGCAAATGAGGCAGGTAAGGAGCTTCAACTGAAGGCTGTTGAAAGTGAGGAGAGTTTTCTGGACTGGGTGATGAGGAGGAGGATAATTGTCCTTTGCTTTATCCAATCTATGTCCCGACCCAAGATACACCTCTGAACGCTGTGAACCCACATTACAGCCTTTGTGCCTCCCTCCTTGCCTGTTGGCACCCTTTTTGTTCAGCCTCCTTTCAGAATCTGTTTAGCTGCTAGCTAAACGGAATTCCCCATGTTGGAGTGATTGGATCTACACGCCACACACACACACACACACACACACACACACACACACACACACACACACACACCACCTTGCCTGACCTCCTGCAGCACCTATCTGCATCTGAAATGTTTGGAGGGTATGGTGGACATCTCAGCCAGTTTACTATTGCACTCTGTAGTAGATACAGTGAAATGTCCGATTCACTCCTCCTGCCGTCCCCCCACCGCCCCTGTCCCCGGTAGATACTCAGAGAAGTGCCAGATTTCATAGCGGAAAGGCACCTAAAAATGTAGGCTGGACACATGGTTCAATCAAACAGTAAAGCCTAGATGTTGCAGCCAGCCTGCCTCTAATCCAAATACTAACCAGGTTGGACCCTGCTTCGCTTCTGAGATCTGACGCGTCCAGGTGGTAGGATCACAGACTGTTTGCTACACATTTCTCCTGGCCCAGCACCAAATGGATTGTATGTGTGAAGGAAATTGGGGCCGGGTAGTTAAGATGCTTCTCCTTTAGTTTCCACGTTGCGGAACTCCCGAATCCAAAAGGCCTAGTCCGAAGTCCTTGAAAAATTTCAAGAGGCAGTGTGGGAGATGTAAGAACCTCTGCTTCGGATGCGACTCCAACTCCTGGCTAGTTTAATTTATTTATCCCTATTTTTGTGGAGGCAGGGGGCGATCAATGAAGGGGAAGGGGCGGGGAGAGGGAGAAGGCGGACCCAGAGTGTTGACGTATGCGCAGGAGAGCCAATGGCTAGTGGGGGGCGTTCCCTCCCATTCAGGACTCCTCGCCTGGTTCCGAAGGTATGTTAAACAGCTGCTTTTAATTTGGTCTCCCCAATTTCGGTCTTTTGGGGGGCTAGTTCCTTGGCTGCTTGCTTTGCCTGGCCTAAGGCTGTGTGGGTGCCGCGGTCTCCAAGACCGAGCTGCGAGGAGGCTCGGAGTCCCGCGGCCGAGGTAGGCTAGGGGCAGGCCAGGAAGAGCGCTTGGCGCCGCCCGCTCATAGTGTGTTTCCAAGCCGGACTGGAGCCGTGGGGAGGGGGCGGCCTGGCCTGGGGTCGCCCGTCTGTCGGCCGCGCCACCCAGTTAATTTCATCAAGCAGTCGGTTTCGGTAGGTCACGGCAGCGAATTGGGGAATGGGCCGACCGGAGACCAACTGCTCTTGTAATGCTTTAAAAATATTTAAAAGAAAAATCTCATAAAGAAGAAAAAGGGATTTCTGTACAGTGAATGGAACAGGGCCCGGGCTGCGGCGCGCGGGCTCGGCAGGGGGCGGCGGCCGCAGCCTGGTGGGTCGGGCCCACCGAGCTCACGGTGTCCGGAGTTGGTGACTGCTGGAGTTTAGAGTAAGCCGGGGCCGGCGGTCTTTCTCCACTAACCACGCTGGGCGAGTGTAGCAGCCGCCCAGAGGGTTTGTTTCTGTCGCCTAACTTGGAGGGGTCGGTGGGCGAGCGCTGGGGAGGCGCGCCCCCATGGACCCGCGGTTGTTAAGGACTCTGGGGGCGGGAGCAATGCTGTATTTGCAGGAGGAGACTGGGGGCGGGAGGGGATCTGGCCACTAACCACGGGAGCCGCCGGTGTCTCCGAACTCCTGAACCGTGGCAATCTAGCAAGTATTCGGCGCCAAAGCCGGAAAGGCTGTGATTCTGGCTGAGTGTCGAAAAGCTCCAGGAACTCGGCGGATTCGATTCGCAGCCCCAGCTGATCCCCTTGCAAACATGGAGCTGCCTCCTTCCCCGCCCACCTTACGGCGGCGGCGACTGCTCCCCCTTCCCGCGTAGTGCGCTGCCTGGGCTCCCTCTTTCCGCGAGGTGCCGCTGCGTGCCACAGGGCCGCGTACCGGGTGGGGGCAGCCGTGCGCGCGCGCTCACGAAGGGGTGGCCTGAAAGGGGCAGTGAAGGTCGGAAACTGGGAAAACAGACTCCACGCTTGGAATAGGGAAAAGGAAATGCATCAGCGGGAGGGGAGGGGCGCGCCTGTCAGCCGGATGGCGGCTGCGGGCCTAGAGGCGGGGCGCCGGCGCAAAGTGCGGGCAGTGGCGGTGTAGCGAGGGGAAGAGAGGCCCAGGCGCAGTTCTCAGAGTGAGCGGCCACCTCAGTCTCTGCTGCCTGGCCCAGATTGTTTACTATCTCCTGCGGGGAGCTTGTGCAACCGGCCTGGAGGGGACCCGAGAGGGGCGGGGCCATTTCCTCTTCCACCTACTTCAGCCTCTCTGAGGCTCCGCCTTCTCTTGTCTTCCACTGGTTGAATGCAAGTCCCTTTTCCCCCTTCTTGTGTTTAGATTGGATGACATTCTCTAGAGCTCCGCCTATCGGGAGGCTGGACTGCAGTTTAAGTTGCTAAATTTTTTTTTCTTCGAAGGGCGGAGGGAGGATTCCTGGGGTTTATGCTAGGTGCAATCCCCCGCCCCTGCTTCTGATTGGTGAATTGGATAGGCCTTCCCCTTCTAGGACAAGCTAGGAGGGGACGTCCTCCTCCTCCCTGCACCCCCCTTCGTGAGCGCGCTCGGCACATGTTTGCGGCCCGCCTAGCTCCCTGCAACTTCCCTCCCGCCCGGAAGTCTCAGGCTCCGCGCCCTTAGTAAGGGGGGCGGGGAAAGCCTTGGAGGCACACAAAGATTCTTGGGAGTCTAGAGATCTGGTAGCTAGCCCTCGAGGTGAAGCCTTACAATTGACTGGCGCTGTTGTTCTGGAAAGTGTAGCTCCGGGTCTGCCGAATTGAGGGGAGGGAATGAATTCGGGTCAGCCGTTGCTGTTTTTCTCCGTGCCCCTTAACTTCCTTAAATTTAAGCTTGAGAAAGCTTGAACATTGGCCGCATCCTTAATTCCCTGGGCAAGGCAGTCGTGGTCCTTAGTCGGCGGAATCTGATTATGACAACCTAGTGATGGAACCCTAGGCAAGATCTGCGATACTTCGATCTCTTGCGGTCAGGGGAAGTCTAGAAGGTCTATTTCTGGCAAGGATTCGGGGGTGGGTGGGGTGTTTGTTGACACCATGGTGGGAGTGCTGTATGGTAGGTATCCAGTCTAGTGGGTGCGGCGGTTCATCGCACGGTAGGAATCTGTCAGTTCTGGAGTACTGCTTTCTCAACCTCTGGACGGTTTGACTCTGATTTTCTTATTTTTAGAGCCCTAGCCAGGGCCAGGGTTTGGCTTGGTTACCGGTGTGACTGCTCCCTCCTGTCGGCCACTCTTGTGGTTCACAACTCATGGTCTCGCGGCATGGAGCCATCCTAGGAGTCAGACCCACCTGTTGCCAACGCTTATTTATGGCAGTCTCCGCAGGATTACTGGAGGGCAGCACTGGGTTTGCGAAACGTTTCCCCGTGCAGTAATCACTTGGGGAAACACACACTTAACTCTAGGGAGAAGACTTTTTTTTTTAACTGTAGAGCTCTGATAGGCTAGTCCAGCAACTGTTCCTCATGGCGCAGCAAAAGCACCCCCAAAGCAACGTCGGCGTTGTGTCCTCGCCTTATTTATGAATAAATGAAAAAACTAGGTATCTAAAAGCACTTGTGTGCTTCAGGCATTCAAGTAGGCAATGTGTGCCCTCTCATTTTTTAAAAAGAGGCTGGTCTAGAGTTCTTAAATTCAAGCAATAGTCTTGCTCCCAAATAGTTGGGATTACAGCTTCTTCGCTTTGAACATCCATTCTCAAGACCAACCCTCACACACACTCTGGAATTTTTGCTCATCCTCTGAATATGAATGCATCCTCAAGGTTTATTTATACCGAGGTCTGTTTGAGTTTTTCTGTCTCTCGGTTTCCCTGGCCTAAAATGTCTCTGGATCTACCTTGCCAATAGGGAATACATTTTGCCTCTTGCTCCGCCTTCCGGAGGCTTGCCCAGGCGGTGACATTTAAAGGCCTCCGCTGGGTTGTCTCCGCCCCCTGAGGGCTGCATAGTCGTGTAGTAGGAGTGTCACAGTTTGCAGCCAGCTCTAGCGACTGGCTTGTAATCTCTAGGTTTGTGTATCAGTTTAGAGCTCAAGACCTTAATTTGGGTCTTCTAAATACAGTCCACATGGCTGTATTTAGGAGATAGTGAAAAGTGTAAAAATAAGTGGGTAGGAAGGATAAGGTCCTCTGTCATTGTTTTGGTAAGTCCTCCAAGGTGGTAATACTGTCTTTTCGTCTTCAAAATCCTAAAGCCTCGGGTTTCGACTGATGAGCTCCTAGCCATCTCCAGTTCGGGCGTTGGAACTCTTGAGCCTCAGTGTCTAGTGTAAACATTCCACAAAAGGACTGCTAAGGTTCAGCATCCTCGCGCAGGGCAGAATGGGCTCCTTCCTGGACCGGCGCCGTGTCCAATGGCGGCTCCTACCGGCGCCAAGATAATCCAATCAGATTGTTGGAGGCGAGGCCTGGCCCAGCAGTGGGGTGGGTGGAGTCAGTCTCACTTACGGACATTTTTACCGCACATTGGTTACTTACCTTCCTGAGGCTGCGAGAGAACCAAAGGTAGCCTTCCAATGCGGTGACCGGCGGAGGCGGGAGCCGATTTGTTAGGCCTGTGGCTGGGGCGGTAATGGGGAGGGATATGTGGGACTCTCCAATGAGATGTGACAAGGTGCTTTTCTTCCTCCAATAATATTGCAGCCCGGGGGGAGGGATTCGACAATCAGTCTCCAATAGGCGGGGTTGAGCTAGGGACGCTCCCCGCCAATAGGGGCGTGGAGAAGGTGAGCGCCTCGCCCTCCCCTCCCAGCGATGGAAGGAGGCGGGTGTAGGTTTGTACGGTGCGGTGATTGGCTAAACCTTTGACCGATGGCTAAAATATCCCGTGACGGTGCGAGGTTAAGCCTTCCCTCGGCGGGGCGGGCTGGGAGTGGGCGGGATTTCCCGGGTAACAGAGAAGCGGCCGCGGCGGTAGAGGCGGCAGAGACGGTTTCTCCATCTTCCCCCCTCCCCTTCCCCCCTTAGAGTTTCCCTCCCTCCCTCCCTCCTTCCCAGTCTGGGCACCCAGGCCTGTGACCGCTTCGTGAGCGCAAAGGAGGTTGCCAGTCCGCTTTTGCGGGCCTGTGCCCGCGCCGTTCCGGGGCCTCCGTGCTGGGTGCGAGGCTCACGCCGGGAGCGACGCGCAGGCTGAGTGGCTGGAGCTTTTGCGGTGAGAGCACGCCGCGTCGCGGTCCACCCGGCATCTGGGTGGCGGGTAACCTGGGACTGGAGGGCGTGTGTTTTCGGGGGGGGGCTGACCTCGGCTTCCCGTGCGTGGCTATGGGGGGCGGAGCGGGGCCGCACTCCGTGCGGGAGGGGGGAGGAGAGCGTAGTCCCGGTGCGCACGGAGGGGCGGGCCCTCGTCCCGCCGATCAGAGGCGGGGCCGGCGCGCGTGCGGTGGTGGAGAAAGGGGCGGGACGGGCTGGCGCTTAATGCCCGCTGTTGCGGCCCCGCCCCTTCTCCCCTCCGTGTGGGTGGGGCCTTGGACTGCATTGCTTTGGGCCGCGGGGTGTGCGGGACAGGAAGGGGGTCTGCCGCGTGCTGCTTTTAGGGCGCGGCGGCGAGGGGGCGTGAAGCCCGTGTTCCCCCGCCTTCGTGGGATCCGGTTGGCCGGAAGGCGCGTTCGGGGCTGCGATGCCACGCCCCTCCGGTACCGCCCCCGCCGGGGTTTCCGCCTCCTTGGCAATGAAGCGGCGCTGGGGAAAGCCCGCTGTCGCGTCTGGCCTGGAGTTGGGGCTCTGCGTCTGCCCCGCCTTCCGTCCCTTTGGGTGGGAGGGGCTCTTGTAGACCGGGAGCGGTGGAGGTGTTCGGACTTCATGCTGTGGCTTCTCCATCTATTCTGCCTAGGGCATCGGGGCCCAGAGCTGCACTCTTCTCTACTTTGCTGTTAGCATCGTGGATGGTGCCGTAACAGCTAAGAGAGTACAAGCGTGGTCAGCTGCTCCTCTTAGGCGTAATTATTGGGAGGAGATGCTCAGCGTCCTCAGGAGTGCCTGCGGTGGGGTGCGGCTGGTGTTGTGCCCATGCTTCCGCGGCAGTGACTGGTGGGGGAGGGGCAGAATCATCAGGGGCTGGAAATGTGGAGGGCGCCAACCTTTCCTGGACTTCTCTTGATGTTCAGCTACTGTGGCTTTACCAGGTGGAGACTTCGCATCAGAAGAGTATTGGGCAGATGCCTAAAATTTGCGATCCGCATCAGAGGAGTAGTGGGTAGACAGCTAAAATTTTCGACTATTTTGGTACTTTAGGACTTTAAACTTAGTTTTGCCCTTGGAGCTGCTCACAAAGGTGAGATTTTATTTTTTACTGAAATGTTTAAATTTACATTTTAATCTCAAAACAGGTCTCTGACAAAGATTTTTTTTTTAATGGTTGCGCGTGTTGGAGTTTATCTGAGACACTAGGGACACTAGGCTATACACCAGGTCTTTTTTCTCTTTCTAAGTTAGGGCTTTCACTCTGTATCCCTGGCTGGCTTCAAAAACTTTTTTTAAGTTAAGTAAGATACTCTTAATTTCTCTACTGAAGGTTTTGTTACATAAGCTTAGTTCCACAAACGTAAACTAGAATTTAGTATTCTTTTGTTCTTTTGATTTTCCTGTAATGGTTAGTCCATAAAGCTTAATGTTGCTCTTTTTAGATACAAAGTAGGTTGAACTTCTGATGAAACCTGTGTAGCATAGCCTACCAACCTGTGCTGGAGAATTACTTTGGCAATTATGAATTTATTGCATAGGCAACCGTATTAGATGGGATATCGTTGGCTATTGAAGAAATAACTTTTGATGAAAAGTAAACATTGAATTCCTATGCACCTGTGTCTGAATAAGAATGTTTAAAGTGTGGGGTGTGTGTTGGGGGGGACGCTCATGTGTGCTCAAACATGTGCATATGCTTGCAAAGGTCAAAATAGGGTGTCAGATCCCCTATAGCTGGAGTTAACAGGTGGTTGTAAGCCACCTGACAAGGGCCTGGGAATCAACTCAGGTCCTCTGTACTGAGCCATCTTTCCAACTCATAGTCTGTGCTTAGTCATACTGCAGTTAAATTCTAGATTTAAAAAAAAAGTTTGACATTTATCCATTATTCAGTACAGCCTGAAAATCATGCACTGTGCAGTACTTAATGGAGAGGTTAAGTATTTACTTTTCAGCTAAAGACGTAACAACAGCAATAATAAGAGAATTGATGTGGAGGTTAAAAAATAGGAACTTGGATGTTTTACAGATGTATAAACTTAAAAAGGTAGTAGAGAATACGTTCCTTTTTAGGAACTTTTTGCCAACCCATAGTTAATTCTATCATTTCAAGTGCAGTCTGGGAAATACTAATGACCTAATTCATATTTTGGGGGGGTTGTTTGTTTGTGACAGGGTTTCTCTTTGTTGCTCTGGCTGTCCTGGAACTGTAGACCATATTGGCCTGGAACTCAACGAGTTCTACCTGTCTCTGCCTTCCAAGGGCCAGGATTAAAGGCATGTGCCACCACAACCAGGCATAAGATATATTCTTACAGAATGTGTAGTCTAGATAGTATGCTGGAGTCACAAGTAGTAGGTTTTAAAAATTCAAGTAAGAGGAACTGGAGAGATGGTTCAGTGCTTAAGAGCAGTGGCTGTTCTTCCAGAGGACCTGAGTTCAATTCCCAGCAACCACATGACATCTCACAACTGTCTAACTCTAGTTCGAGGGGATCCAGTATCCTCACACATATACACATTCAGGCAAAACACCAATGCACATAAAATTTAAAAAGATTAAAGTAAGAACCTGCTTATGGTTCTTTGTACTTTCCCATACATCAGTATTATATGCTTTAGTTTTATTCAAGGTTAAAATAGCATTTGAGAGCCTGGACAGATGGCTAAGCTCTTGCAGAGAGCCTGAATTCATTTTCAGTACCCATGTCAACCTGTAACTGGAGCTCTGGGGCCTCAGTGGATACCTGAACATAGGTGCCTATGTTCCCCACATCCATACACATAGTTAAAAGTAATAGAAATATATCTAAAAATAAAGTATTAATTGTTTTTAAAATTC